CCAGATTTAAGCTTTTTCTTCTTTTATCAAGGTTATTTGTTAGACATCAAGGTTTTGGAAGACTGTGTTCTTAAAAATGTTGGAGATCTAACCTTTGAAGTAAATTATCATAGTAATTAATATATATATATATGTTAAATTCATAATAATAAACATCGATATAATATCCATAGGAAGCATACCAGAAATCAAAGCGAGTTCTCAATATTACAGTTTCATCAACAAGGAAATTTGAGGTTCCTCAATTGCTAAACTATTTGACCGCGCCCAATGTAGTGAGTATTTATATAAATGATTTAATATATTTCATGTATGTATAACATATATTAATAATCAAAAATTAGTTAATATCAAGTGCTGCTTGCGCTTCGGTTGCTATAATGGGTCTCTACGATAGTTACGATTTGCTAGCAAAGGATAAAACTGGAAAACAAATTCCATGGGCCACTGGTGTATATAAATTCTAATTATCATCATAATAAATTAGTAAAAATAATGAGAACTTAACGTATAAGTCTTTATTTAGATATCAAATTTAAGAAATGGACAGATACGGTTCCATCTGAAAGGTACGAGCCAATAATAACTTATCCATTTGTAGTTTTAAGATTCGTCAATTAATAAATTCACGTATTATTATCTCGATTATTCTGCGCAATAGTGAATCTCCGTTAACAAGACTTTCAGAATTATTTAATGTTAATCATTTTATTGTATCTCAAGCAAATCCTTGTATTGTTCCATTCATGTCCCGAGAGCAAACAACGCGAACCAATTTTTTGGTAAAATGTGGATATTTTCTATCAACTGAAATTAAACACCGAGTATTTCAGGTTTGCATGATATAATTAAATGAATTTGTTATTGTATGTTAAGTGAGTTATACAGCTAATATTTCGATATTAATCAACAGCTTGAACAAATGCGAATTTTACCACGAAGACTTCGTGGAATTGTTGATGAGAAAGTGTCTGGGGACGTTACTATCGTACCCTCTATTACCATTGCAGTGAGTATTTAACATATTAGTAGTTGAATAGAGTAAACCTTACTAATAACATCAATTTCTATAGGATTTTAAAACCTTGTTTTCTAGCCCAACACACGAATCATTGGATTATTGGATACTAAAAGGAGAACAGTCTACATGGCCTTTATTGGCATTGATAAAGAATCGATGTAATATAGAATTGGTTCTTGATAGAGGTATCTCCACTCGATATTATTTCTCTGTTGATCAATTTAATGAATTCATACTAACAAACATCTCAACAACTCGAATCTAAATAACCTAATTGCTAGCATATTTTAAATTGAAATCCATTCCAGTTGACCGAACTAGTTATTATCAAAATGCTAAAAATAATGGAGCACGAAAACGTACTAAATCTCTTCACTAAAAATTATTTAAAAAAGTGTTTAATGTAAATGAATATAACTAAATTCAATACAAGATGAGTTGGTATTAATGTATGAGTTCTAAAGTTGAATATATAGAATAATAAATTGGAATATATTTAATAGGCAAAAACGCAATTATTCACGAAAGAAAAAAGATGCATTAACCCCAAATGTTTTTGATCTTTCTTTTCAAAGTAACTCTATCAGTCATTTTAGCCATTTTAACCTCTTCTTTTTCTATATTCATCAAAGCCCTGCTCAATCCTTTTTTTTGACGTCGCTTTGCTTTGGCTGTAAGGTGTTTGCTTGATGCTTTCTTTTTAATCTTGCGCAAAATAGTGTCTGCACCGAGGATTTTGCGTGAAAGATTGGCTTGCGGAGAGGAAATATTAGTTGCGACGAGTGGTTGTGATAACATTAGATGATCTTTTTTTAGAGAAAAGGTTAGCATTTAATCAATTCTGAAAGTTGTAGAAAAGTTTGCAATAAAAAATTACCTGGTGAAGTTGGACTAATTGGAAACAACAAAGAATCTACCATCATATTGTTATTGGTTAATGGTTTATCAAGTTGCATTTTGCTTCGTTCTTTTAATTTTAATAAAATTTTTTTCGTTTTTAGTGAGTTTAATATATTTTGAAAGTTAAACATCATAATTAAATAACGAATAAAATGTTTGCATACTTGGTTTTCCCATCTTTTTATGCAGTTATCAGATTGATATTATATAATTTCCAAAAATTTTTTTAATGCTAATAATCACCGAACGAAGAGTTTACAACTGTGTGAAGAAAAAGTTGTAAAGAAAATAAGCACAGGTATTTATTTTTCCAATTTATTTGTTTATTTTTCCGAATATAAACAGAAAATAAAGTTACTACTGATCGTATTGTAAAAAATGATTAAAATGATTGGTAGGTAATATTTCTATTCTTGGTTTTATCAAGGCACATGTTATTGTACATAACATATTTGCTTTGTCCACTTTATGCACATCGAACAAAAAACTAGCATTGAAGCATGTATGACACCATTAACCATTCACTAGT